AAGTTCCCATGGGTGATGAAATGATGACAGTAGGAGGAGAAGTGGAACCAATGCAAATTTCAACACAGCCAACCTCAATCTTAGCAGGCAATAAATGTCCCCAGCAATATAATGATCCAATTACTTTCTATAGCGTGTGAATCTTGGAGACACAAAACAGTTTTAATGCCTGCGACATTCTTCCTCCTCTAGTTTGGAATCCACAGATCCTATTATATATTCAGTATATTTCAATTGTGCTCCTGTCGCTTGCACTCCGAAGGCGCTCGGCTTCACTTCTTAATTGAGGCCCAGTGGAAATAAAGGGCATCATCACCATTATTATTAATATTTATCATTTTCTGTAAGAATGCTAATGTGCAAAGGGAGTTTATAATCTGTATCGTATTCATGCCTGCGATGTCGCTGGGAGCGAGGGCTAGGGGAAAGAACCTGACTCCCATTTAACATGTGGAAAACATGTGGTAAGGGGTGATGATGCGGCAGTGCCTAGGGTCATTCCTTGTGGTTGGAGTCACTATGTCTCTGGATCCCAGTTGCTGGAAACCAAAGGAGGGGAGAGTGCTCTTGTGCTTGGGTCCCACTTGTATGATGCCCGTCTGTTTGGCCACTGTGAGAACAGAATGTGAAGCTGGATAGGCCCCCTTTGGCCTGATGCAGCAAGTTCTTATGTTCTTATGGAGGCCAGAGGCAGCATCCTTCTGAGTATCAGTTGCTGGAGACCACAAGCAGGGACAGTGCTCTCGTGCTGAGGTCCTGCTTGTGGGTTTCTTACTGTCTTCTGGTTGGCCACTGTGAGAATAGGATGCTGGACTAGATGGGCCACCAGCCTGACCCAGAAGGGCTCTTCTGATGTTCCTCCTGCATGCAGGTTATTTGCAGGGTCCACCATGTGTCATTGCCTCTTCTAATGGTGTAATAACTTCAATTGCGGCCATGATTTGTTAGGGCACTGGAGCAATTATTGTAAGGATAGGATAATTCAAGTTATAGGTAAAAATGGGGAATGGGATGTGAACCAGCCCAGATTCTCTGAATGCAGATGTGCAGACTATCCTAAAGATCCATCTGTCCATGTGCTCAGAGTGGATTGAATAAATAGGGGCCACACTAGTGATCCCTGTCATATTAAGGGCAAGATGCTGGGAGTCAATGAGCCATAATAAGAGGGCTTTTAGAACACACAAAAAACCACAGAAGCCCACAAACCAACTAGGCCTGGGACAAAATTTCTTCTTGAGTTAAAATATGTATACTGATCAAGCAGCTTATTCCATTTGTGTTTTGCAAACATCTGGCAAGCTGAAGCATCCTCCCCCCATCAATTAAAAATGGAAAGACATATTCAGTCTTACACATTAAAAGACTTGTTTTTAGAGGGTCATAGAAAGAGTCTTTGCCCTCCAAAGAGGCAGCCACCTGCATTTCTGCATGATTTGGGTATGCGTTCAGTGCACTGACCTATGCAGAGATGCGACTGACTGTCTCTTCTAGGTAACTGTTGTATCTGTACATTTAGAAATGGTATAATCCAATTGCAAGTGAAGCAGAGATAGGCAGAAGTACCTATCCCAGTACAGGATGCTTAGAAGGAGTCGAGACCAGAGCACTGAGTTAGGCAGAGAAGCAAGGCACAGGCTCTTCCTCCATATTCGATTCATAAGAAGCGAAGTATCTCTCACAAGATAATGACAATTCTCTTGCAGCTCACAAGTGTGCCCTGGTACATAGCCTGAAAATGACAGCAGTTGTCAGTATACCATTTATGAGTGTGGGATTGCATAATCAAGTGCCACTATTTGCACATATGTGTGCATGTGCATGCATGTGTGTGTGTGTGTGCGCGCACACACACACACACACACACAGCGTGCAAGGAAGAAGAATTCTAACCTTGCTCTCTCTTTGAAATGCTAGTCTTTCAAGTCCAGGAATTTCCACCCCTTTGAGAACCATTTAACTGTTCCAAGTGGTAAAAACTAAGTAATATTTTTATTGCTTCATTTCCACGTGCACAAACCGGGCACAGCTTCGTACCCTGATATGTGGTACTTTCACATGCACTGGAGAAGGAGGAGAGGAGAACGAACACTGTGTGCTGAGAACAAGATGTTTCCTGTCCCCAAAAGCCACAACTGAGGCATTAAGAGGGGAAATAGATTATCCCAATCTATGGAAATATTCCCCTCCACTGTGAAGTGAGCTTTTCATTGTTTATTCGGGAAGGATAACAGCATCTGAAGCTCTTGTGCATCTGAAGCACGCTTATCTTCTGAAGGGAAATCAGTCACACGGTTTCCTTCTTCCATGAAATTATAGAATTTATGCAGGAGAAAACCAAGGCGAATTTTGCTCTTTCTCCCATCTCTGACTTCAAAGCTTGAATCACACTTGATTTACTCCTCACATTAGTCATGGCACTGCCAATATCCCACCACATTTGAAGTACGAAGAATAGATGAGAAACAGTGATGGGCTCAAAATTTAATTATACCGGCCCGATTCCGATCTATACAACATACACTTTTGTCTCAGCTGTAATCTAAGATCCAGCCAATACCTTCTTTAGGACTCCTGCTTCCAAGAGCTCCTAGAGGGTCTAAAAGCTGGGAATGCAATTAAAACACAAGGTGGGAATGCTCAAGACACTGTTTGCACTTCCTGGTTGGTTTCTGTCTGTACTGAATTAGCCACTCATACATTGAACATGTACCCAATATTTCATTGAATGCCAGGAGTTGGATGCTCCCATGGAAATAACTCTCTGTGAGTGAGGGCAGTGGTGGCTGATGTAGGTGCCCTTTTCACATGGATGGGGTGGCCAATGGGACCAAAATGGCACGTCCCACTTTGTCCTATCTCTTTTTGAGAAGTATATGGTGTGTGCCCCCCCCAGTAAGGGCCTTTTCAGTGGTGGCTCCTCAAATGTGGGACTCTGTCCCTAGTGAGGTGCATCTGGCCTGACCTCTGAGGTGCATTTGGTGTGTTTTGGGTAGCTTTATTGGCAGGTATTTGAAGCAGAGACCTGATTGTTGTTGTTCTTGCTGCTGCTGCTGCTAGTAGTTGTTTTTAGTGGCGAGTTATGTGTTTTTGTGTGTTTTTATGGATTTTTATCTACTTGTCTGTAGTAAACAGCCCTGTGGCTTGTGCAAAGGTGGGTATCAAATCTATTATCTGAATTAATTCAGGGTGCAGAATGTAGACAGATGAATTGCACGTACTCTCTCACTCAGGTTTCCTGTGACAGGGGCCCAAGGTCCACACTTATATTCTGTCATGCTGCCCTGAAGTGTTAAAACACTTGCGGGAACTATCCTTAGAGCCACTTCACACAGAGTGGTTTATTAGGTGAGAAAATGCAGTGAAATATCCATTTCATAAAGTGTATAGTAGGAATGGATCTGTCGATTTCTAGACTATGACTTTTCCACATTTTATCTGTAAGTCTGCTCATACATTCATGCATCAATCTGCATTTAAAAATATATAGAACTGCCCACAATTTAACTTTTTTAAAAAAGCTATTTCACAAAATATACATTTTCCCATGTGTTTTATCCTAAAATACACATTTTTTTAAAGCTGAGAACTATTGCGAAGTCGGGGAAATGTGAAAAATGAAATATAACTGTGCTCCTTTTTCTGAATCAGGTTTGTCCTCAGTAGATGTAGCCATCCTTCAAAATTTGCCCTTATCTGAATTTTACAATTCCGTTTCTCTAATGCAAATTGCTGCAGATTTGAGAACTGAATTTAAGATTGGGGAAATGAGGCACTAGGAGATCCTGCCACCCCTAGTTTCCATCAAGAAAAGAAATCCAGCTCCATCTTACATATGCGCAAAGGTCTCTCTCCCAGTGTTAATTATGTAACTCCTAGAGATTGCCTCCTGTTTACAAGGTAATAACCATATCCCGAACAAAATAAATTGAAGCCATCAAACAAGCTTAACTAGCTAATTAGATTTTTTAAAAAGCTGTTGATTAAGAACCTGAGCATGAACATACACAAAGGTTACCTCGGTGGATATGGGTACTTTACTTATTTGGGGCTGTCCCCTGACAAATTGTTGTGCTGAAGCAACAGCTCCATTAAACAGTACATTTTCATGTACATAGAATCACAGAACCACAGAATTGTAGAGTTGGAAGGGACCCTGAGGATCATCTAGTCCAACCCCATCAGCCCCAACTAGCACAGCCATAAAACAAGATATATTGGAAATCATTTACTGGTAACAAGGGCCAAGGGTAAGCCAATGCCCCCTGATCCATTCCTTATTGTTCCTCTGGTGGTCTTGGCTCTGAATTCAACTCTTACTCCATTTCAGTTTAACTCAAATTAATTCTGGAACCAGAGCATGCACAACTTTGCTGTAGCTCTTCCTTCACTCTGTTCACTTGCATCTTTCTTGACCCACCCCAACCAGCCCCCAGCAGCTCTTTACCCATCTGTGTATGCACATGGCCTCAGGGTAAAAGAAGTCTCTTCTTGAATTTAACTGATGCAGCAATGTTGAATAAATGCAAAGTTTCTCCTCAAGCAGAGGTGGGGAAGCTATCTGTGGGGGATCTCCTGCACTGAGCATTAGACGGCCTTGTTGTTGTTTAGTCGTTTAGTTGTGTCTGACTCTTTGTGACCCCATGGACCAGAGCACGCCAGGCACTTCTGTCTTCCACTGCCTCCCACAGTTTGGTCAAACTCATGCTGGTAGCTTCGAGAACACTATCCAACCATCTTGTCCTCTGTCGTCCCCTTGTCCTTGTGCCCTCCATCTTTCCCAACATCAGGGTCTTTTTAGGGAGTCTTCTCATGAGGTGGCCAAAGTATTGGAGCCTCAGCTTCATGATCTGTCCTTCTAGTGAGCACTCAGGGCTGATTTCCTTCAGAATGGAGAGGTTTGATCTTCTTGCAGTCCATGGGACTCTCAAGAGTCTCCTACAGCACCATAATTCAAAAACATCAATTCTTAGATGGCCTACAACCCTATAATTGGGGAAGGGCCATGGCTCAGTGGTAGAGCATCTGCTTTGCATGCAGAAAGTCACAGGTTCAATCCATGGCATCTCTAGGTAGGGCTGGGAGCGACTCCTGCCTGAAACCCTGGAGAGATGCTGCCAATCAGCATAGACAATAGTGCACTAGATGGGCTAATGGGCCTGACTAAGGCCATATTCACATCATAACCAGGTGTTCACAAGCTTTTTCAATGGTGTTTCAAACACACATGATTTCGCTTAAATGCGCGGGGCCTTGGAATGTAACCCCAATGGCAATTGGGAGTTGCCTATACAGTGGTACCTCGGGTTACAAACACCTCAGGTTATAAACACTTCGGGTTACAGACTCCACTAACCCAGAAGTAGTACCTCGGGTTAATAACTTTACCTCAGGATGAGAACAGAAATCGTGGGGTGGCGGCATGGCGGCAGCAGGAGGCCCGATTAGCTAAAGTGATACCTCAGGTTACGAACGGTTTCAGATTAAGAACGGACCTCCGGAACAAATTATGTTCGTAACCTGAGGTAACACTGTATTAGTTTCATCACATTTCCTGCCTCCTACATCCATACTATCTCCTCATCCAGTGAAGGGGTCTTGTCCAGCATTTTAGACGGAAAAGGAGAAATGCCCCACAGGTCTCTTGACTACCAGTATGAAAGGGCAAGGAAGGCAGGTGCTTTTTTTGAGGCGGATGTTTCCTTTAAGCCTCTAAGTCAAGACTGTTGATCTTTCTTGACACATCACAGCACTCTTGTTTCTCTTCTCTGTGATATCTTGCCTAGTGCCCGATCAGAAATAGAGCTGCCTGACAGCATGCTGCTTTTGATTTTGCCAGGAACAACAAAGAGGTGTCAGCCTCTGAAGGTTTTAAAAATAGAATTGTCTGAAGAAAACAAACACCTCTTTAACAAATCTCTGTCGAAAAGACAAAGGGCACTGTCAGGGAAAGGAGAAAAATGTGCAGGGAAGCCTCAAATGAAACTTACGCCAGGCCTTTCAACAACAGCGCTTCAGCTGACTACTGGCATAAAATGCTGCAGAAAGGAGCAACGTTAGACCAGGGCCTCATTCACACCATACATTTAAAGTGCTACAATGCTACTTTAAGCCATGGCTTCCCACAATGAATTCTGGGAGCTGTGGTTTCTTACAGGTGCTGAGAGCTGTCTGGTGACTCCTATCTCCCCCTCAGAGAGTTGCAATTTCCACAGTGGTTTAACAATCAATCCTCTTCACCTGGAACTCTGAGAATTGTAGCTCTGTGAGGGGAAACAGGGCCCTCCAATATACCATATTTTTTGCACCATAACACTCACTTTTTTCCTCCTAGAAAGTAAGGGGAAATGTCTGTGCGTGTTATGGAGGGAATGCCTACGGGTGGCGGGGGGGATCTGCTGCAGTCGTGAGCAGAGGATCCATGGTTCCCCTTCCTTCCCTCCTCCGTGGCTCACTTTGAAACAGCAAAGTGGGAGAAGAGCTGCTGAGTGGGGAGGAGAGAGGGACAGAGAGCCTGCTTCTTTAAAGGAGCAAAGCAGGAGAGGAGAGGAGCCTTCTCCCCGTATACCCCTCTTCTGCATTATTAGCAGCATCCTTCTCCACCCACCCCACATGTGCTCCTTGTCCCTTGAGTGCTTTTCCCTCCCTCCCCACTTAAAACGTGGTTACAAAGCACAGATCCACATGGATCCTCAGGATTTTTGCACTGGGTCACCCCAAATTCACCATCAGATCACATAGCATGTCCATGGCTACATCTTGCACCAAAAAAATCACGCACCCACTGTTGCCTGGGGCCGCAGTGGTGCAAAAACATGGTTACAAAGCATGGATCTACATGGATCCTCAGGATTTTTGCATTGGGCTACTCCAAACTCACTGTCAGATCACGTCTGTGGCCACAGCATGAACCACAAAAATCATACATCCACTGTTTCGTTTAGAATATTTTTTTTCTTGTTTTCCTCCTCTAAAAACTACGTGTGTGTTATGGTCGGATGCGTGTTATAGAGTGAAAAATACGGTATATTATTGTGTATAAATGCTGCCACTTTCAGTAGTTTCATAAGCAGTGAAACTACAAGGATGCCCCTCAAGTTGTTTTTTTAAAGGTTGGTGGACAATCTCTCCAAAAAGACAAATTCCCAGTCACTATAAGTTCAATACAGTATTGTATGTGTTCCAGTTTCATGACCCCAGTACAGAGCAGCAGCTAAGATGCTGGCACACAAGACGGAGAAACAACAGCTGAATGCTGAACAGCAATGCTGGTGTTCACTTTGCAAGGATCACTTTGAGCCAGAGACCTCCAAACTGGAAAACCAGGAGACAGTACCACATTGAACCAGATTTCTCTGAGGAAGCAGACCTCTTTGCACTGGGGGTCTCTTGCTCCCCGTGGGCTGCTCACCAGCACATCCAACTTGCAAGTGATTGAGATGTGATGGGATGCTAAGCTCCATGCCAGAGGACTATGACTTTAAGACTTCCCTCTTTTCAGGACGGAGGCAGAGCCTTGGAAGGGTAATCCCCCCCACACCAATAAAAGGCCTAAGTTTGATCTCCATTCAAGCAAACCATGTGATAGGAGCTGTTCAAGGTCCTGTAAGCCAGTATGATGCTGCCTGACATCCATCTTCTAAGCCACTCTCAGACATTTGTTGTGTCCGCCAATCAACTCTCTACTGTGGTCAGGGCAGAACATCTAAGGCACACTCTTAAGTTTTCTCCAGGCAACAGTGAGACCCAGAAGGTCTGGTCGGTGCCCCAAATGGACTTAATGTGCAGCAGACTCTTCAACAGAGTCTTCAACAATGTGGAGTTAGTCCAACCGATGAGGACAGGGTTCCCTAAATAAGTTTTTAAAACCCTGGACTAAGTATTTGCTGTTAAGCTGCCATCTGAATGCCCAGAACTATTTGCATTGTATGTGCTTGTGATGGGTCTGCATGCTCACTTCTGGGACACTGTTAATCCTGCAGATTTTCATTTGTGCTTGAAGAATAATCACGTGACCTACCCCAAACTTGCCTTATGTTGCTGTTTCACAAACATAAGATTTGTGTATAAAAAAGTGATTGCTTTCTTATTGTATCTTAGAACATTCTGGATAGTGTCACTCACATTGTTGGCATTAGCACATGATGTTACCTTTATTTTTGATAGCTTAAAAGGGTACAAGCTTTCTTCTAAACTGCATATAGCTTTCCCATTTATCCTCAATTGCTTTGTCAATGTTTTTTTCCCTTTTTTTAAGTTCCTTGTAAAGATAACAAGCTGTGCATTGTAGAGTGGGAGAGCATTATGGAGATGAGCAGTTATCGCCGAGTTGTGTACGCCACTCTGTAATTTGTACCTAACATGATGTGTGCATGTGTTTGGAATAAGTAATTGCAAGGAATCGCAGAGTGGCGCTGATGCAGATCTCAATGCTCAAGCAGCTCTGATAAGCTGAGAGGAGCAAAATGCAAGGGAGCCGATCTCTGGTCACCTGGCTCAGTACAATCTCCCTGCCCTGTTTCTCCCTCTCTTTCATAGGCAGACCAAACTAGGCTGATTGAACAGACATAGGATGAAGGACATTACATTCTAAAAGTGGTCCCCACAGATTGTGTACCCACAGAGGGTGTACAGATTTACAGCTGACATTCAGGATGGACTCTACTGTTAGACAGACTGAGTCCTCTGCCTCAGGTGGCAGAAGCTGGGGGTGGCAGCAGCAGACCCCCACCATTCCCACTAAGTCGCTCAGTTAGCCTGCTGTATACCTCCTTTGGTAGCCTTCTGCCCTCAGGTACAGTGGAGAATGTTGTCCCCTCATCAGTGTTGAAGGAAGATTCAACTGACAGTTCTGGTGGATGCTGTGCACATAATGGGAAGGGCCACCATCTGGTCCTTTACTTCAGGCAGCATAATACTTGGGCCAGGTCTGCTTGCAGTGTGGGCACAGGCACATGGTTCACCTGAACGCAGTGAGCTTCTGTCACAGGAAGGAGGCCTCTCAGCTCTATACCAGTTGCCAGCAATTACATCTGGGCAGAGAGTATTCTTGTGCTCATGTCTAGCTTGAGGGTTTCCCAACAGGGCATCTGGTTGACCATTGTGAGAACAGGATGCTGGACTAGGTGGTCCATTGGGCTGATCCAGCAGACTCATGTTATGTTCTTATGCTTCATTGTTTGTTTCATAAAAATGTATATGGCTACACACTTTGAGGATAAAGTCATCGGACTTCTGGATGACCTGTTACTGCAGTTGCAGATGATGTAACCAAAGTCAGAGTCGGTGATGTATTGTGGGATCGGTTTCAGCAGATGCAGTCAACTGATGTGGACACAGAGCTGGAGGCTACATGCCCAGCCACATGCGCCCTTGCTCCCTGTCCCTCCTGGCTAGCAGTGGGAGGTTGGCTGGTTGGTTCCAGAGCATGATTAATGCTTCATTGCATGAGAGTGGTCCCTGCTTGCATGAAGTGGTGGCACTGCCAGTTCTAAAGCAACTGGCCCTGGTCACCTTAGACTGCAATAACTATTGACTAGTCACTAGGGTGATGGTGGTGGAGAAAGTTGTAGTGGGGCTACTGCAGGCATTCTTAATTTACATGGAATATTTAGTTCCACTCCAATGTGGGTTCAGGCCTGGCCATGAGTTGCCACTGAATGGAAGAATGTTTTTAACTGCAACTGTTTTTAGAATGTTTTAACTGGTCTAGAATGTTTTCTTTTTCAACTCTGTCTCTGCCACTCTGGGCTCCTTGTGGGCAGAAGGGAGAGTGGGATATAAAGTCAATCAAGAGTCCTCTCTAATCAAAATTTTAAATGGTAATTCAGATTCCACCCTCCCCAAGGTGTTCCTCTCATAATCTCTTACAGTACAGTATTCTGTACAAAGCCAGTGAGTTGGGAGTTGGGATGAGGCAGGATAGCGCACGGTTGCTGATAACAAAATTCAACCTCCATGGACTTTAAAACACCTCTAAAGTTATTGATTCATAAACAGGCAACCAAAAAGAAAAATAAACACACACAAATCTAAGACTGGGCAGAGATAGGCACCTGAACCTAGATTTAT